ATAATGAATATTTTTTTTTTTTGCGACAGAGTCTCACTTTGTCACCCTCAGTAGGGTGCCGTGGCATCACAGCTCACAGCAACCTCCAACTCTTGGGCTCACGTGATTCTCTAGCCTTAGCCCCCCAAGCAGCTGGGCCCACAAGTGCCCACAACGCCCAGGTATTTTGAGAGATGGGGTCTCACTCTGCCTCAAACTGGTCTCAAACCTATGAGCTCTGGGCAATCCACCTGCCTTGGCCTCCCAGAGTACTAGGATTATAGGCATGAGCTACTGTGCCCGGCAAGAATAATGGATTTTATATTTCAAAAAAGCTAGAAGCCAGGATTCTGCATGTTCACAGTGCAAAGAAGTGATAAACGTCTGAGGTGACAGGTATGCTAGTTCCCTTTTGATCATTACACATTTATGAGTTGTACACATTTATTAAAATGTCACGCTATGTCCCACATATATGTACAATTACATATTATGTGTCAACTAAAATTAAAAGGGGAGAAATGAGGCGTGGAGTCAGGGAATTAGAGAGCTGAACAGTCGGGAGAGGGAAAAACCTTTGCTGTTGCAAAAACTAAATGAGATTCTACACGCACAGGAGGCTGCGGTGGGGACCAAACTGCCCCAGCTAGGGCGCCTGGGGGGAAAATTGCCCCCTGCAGGGGCGCCTGAGTTTACATCCTCTTCCTGGCCGTGAATCTCACTCTGTGGTGAGTTTCACAGGTAAAACACGACAATAAATGGAAACTCCTGTGTACACAGCAAGTGCTCAGCTATTATGACTCATTATTTTTATTTCCTCGAATCCTTTCATTTAAAATCACAACCCCATTCTCCTGCCTACTCTATTTGTTCCTGTAGGACTCATGGCCATCTCCACACTGAGTCTTACTCCTTTATCTTATCTTTAAGCTTTCCCATTAGAATATAAACTCCGGGAGACAGGGGTGTGCTCTGCTTTGCCCACCACGGGGGGCGGGGGGGGTTCAGTGCTGGCACATGGCAGGCACTCAATAAATAAAATTGCTCAAGATGGTCTTTGGTGTGCAAAGTGGGTGACAAATGTTTGTTATGAAATAGCCAGGATGACACTGGCCAGTGGGAACCGTTGCCAGGGTGTAGCCGGAGATGCAGATTACTGAGCAAGGCAAGGGTGGTTGCAGGCATGAGGCCGGGAGCCCCTGTGCAGAGCAGGTCTGTGTCACACACAGGGTTTGCCGGGAAGCTGCCAGCACCCCGACCACAGACCAGCAGAGGAGCACTGGCTCTGGGTCTCCAGCAGGATCAGCAGGAGAGGGTGGAGTGTCAGGGCTGCTCTTCACTGGCAGGGCGCTTGGGAAGTGGAGGAGGGAGCGGGAGGGTGCAAACTCCACCTCCCTGTTCCCTGCAGTGTGATCCCCGGGGAGTGTGCTGGGAAGTGATGAGAGCTGGGAAGGAAAGGGGGATCTCCGCAGGGAGACTGTAATGCAGAGAGCTGTGTTGCTAGGGCTGTGACGGTCTGTGGTCTGCGGCAGGAGGAGCAGTGATCGGAGTACAGAGCACTCTGGAGATGGGGTGTGTGAACCCACGACAGACTGACGTTCTTCATGAGGCCACTGGCCAACTTAGCATAGCAGGGGCTTTGTTTTTTCCGTACCACATATAGGATGCTGTTGTAGCTAAACAAGCAAGCATGGAAAGGAATAGCACATTTCTAGAAACATCTCGATGTTAAAACACTCTAGGGAATTGTTCAAAAATCTAACAGTCACCTCCTCTGTTTCTCATGGAAATATCTTGCCCTTCACTGGGACATGCTCTTGGGTGGATTTAAAAGGTCATTGTCATTTGTAATCTTTACAATTTTTAAAGCCCAACTTAAGTAGGTTAATATTTCAGTCAAGCTGTTAATAAAAGTAAAACATTCAGAAAAACTTTAGGACTCAGTGAATTAGAACCAGTCCCGCATTTTCTGTCTCATCTGATAGACTAACTTTAGAGGCATGAAGCACTTCCTGGGATCTCCAAACAACTCAGAAGCCAGTGCTCACTTCCCATTGGTTGGTGGGTCAGTGGCTCAAATGCGGATGGAGTGACCATGATGGTGAGAATAAAACGATGAACAAGGTGGGGCAGGGTTTCAAACACCACACAGACATGATTTAGAAGTGAATAAATAAAGAGAAAACTATTTGGAGCAGGTGAATGTTTTGATATGAGACTCTTTCATACTCTTCTACAGTCTCTGAATGAAGAATTGATGGTAATGTTAATTAAGATGTATAATAACAAATGTGGGCAAAACCAGACAGCCTCCGAAGAATATGTTAGAAATGCTTTTTGGCCGGCCCTGTGGCTCACACCTGAAATCCTACACTCTGGGAGGCTGAGGTGGGTGGATTGCCTGAGCTCAGAAGTTAAAGACCATCCTTAAGCAAGAGCAAGACCTTGTCTCTACTAAAAATAGGAAAACTAGCCAGGCCTTGTGGTGGGCACCGTAGTCCAAGGTACTTGGGAGTCTGAGGCAGGACTGTGGCTTGAGCCCAAGAGTTTAAGGTTGCTGTGAGCTATGACGATGACAAGACACTCTACACAGGGGACAGAGTGAGACTCTGCCTAAAAAAAATGCTTCTCAATAAAACATGTTGAATGAAAGCCTTTTTGGAATATTGGGTGAGGGCACTATTCTCCAGGTAAATTAAAATGTCACATTTCTATGACATAATCATAGCAGTTAATAAAAAATACAGTCCCTCTGGGTTGCACGAGCTGAAAATAGCGGAGACTACAGGCATAGAGGCTGCGGCACGACTACTCTGCGCTGTCCACCCCCTGCTCTGGCGGGACCACGTCACTTTCACTTTCTCCCAAGGCTTCCCTTGAAGTGCATTTTTATGCCCTTTCACTCACAGAAGCATTTCTCCGCGAGATACACAGGGGCACATACACGCAGGGTGGCACCGTTCACGTCCCCTCCAAAGCCTCATCTGTGCTTCTCAGACTTGAGCAAAGTCCAAGATGAAGATGACATTGTCTTAGGAGATTCCAACTAACATCTATTGAAATTCTTTCTTGTATGACTTTTCTTTGTATGACTGAGATGCTTAAGGAATTTGGATCTTACTAATTACAATGGCAAAATTACAAACGGAGGGTACCCAGAAATCTGCTAACAAATACTGTATTTTCATAAAACATGATATATTATTGTGCATATTTATTAAACATGTATATTTAATTGCTAATATATATCTTTAGATTGGTATCTTCAAACCCTCACTCTGTAAAAGAGGCCACAGTAGGCGCCTGTGGCTCAAAGGAGTAGGGCACTGGCCCCATATGCCAGAGGTGGCGGGTTCAAACCCAGCCCCGGCCAAAAAAAAAAAGAGTCCACAGTAAACCCAAGTAAGGTGCCCACATGCTGTAGCCACGACAGACAGCAGCGACGGCAAACCTGTCACCACTGTCCTTGTGGAGCCCCAGACAGTCATCTGAGGGTTTTCCATAGTGACTGGCTTAATTTCCTGGTTAAAGGACGGCAGACTACAGCAGAGGAGGGGCTACAGCTTTTGCGGCAGCTGGACTGCAGCAGAGGAGGGGCTCTAGGTGTGGGGGTGCTTGGTGCACGTCCAGATTAACAGCCTATTTGCTGTAGCTGCGCCTTCCGAGGTGTGCTGGTTAATATGAAAGGCACCTGGACCCTTTTTATTCCATCTGATTCAAAGAGAAAATGTAGGAGGCCATGAGCTTGTGGATTTTGTATCTTTGTTATGTTAATGACCCGAGGCAATGAAGACTTTGACATGTGGCAAATATACATCCTCTCCTGAGACTGCCTGTCCCCCGTCCTTTGCCCCAGCTGGACACGACGTCAGGGTATTTGGAAAGTCTGAAAGCAGACCATCCTTCCTGATCTTATACAAGTGACTCTGAGCTAAGAACTTCCATCTCTACGACCATCTTGCGGACAAAATTCACTGATGAGAGAAAAAGCCCACAACTATACAGATGACCGGTACTAGCCGTTCTGATTTTAAGAATCGCATTTAAACATACACCGACTTAGGAAAAATCCTCTTTGTTGCAATAAAACATACATAGAGACAAGTTCAATATGCAAGTTAAAGTCTAGAGTAGAATATTTTTTGGCCAACTTTTGACTGCAGGATAAAAGTAGCTATTTAAAATCCTAGAAAGGCTTATGAGATAAATCTTCCTATGTAAGATGGCCTATTAACTAAGCTAAGTTACCTCATTTTTCCCCATTGGTAGTTTAAATGGGCCATTTTATCAAATGCTTGGCCTGTCAAGATGATTTAGAATTTAAATATAAAACAGAACAATGCTAATTCCTAATGCAGAATATAGCAAATAGTCAAACACTGAGGTTAGACGTGTGACATTATATTTACAGATATCTTCTCAATCCTCTGAAATGGCAAAACTCACCATAGCTGCCCATTTTACGGCGGTCAGTCCTTGTAAGTCCAGTCTCGGGACACGCAGATCAGACTTACTAAAATGCTCATTTCTCTTTTCCCCACTTTTCTGCACATTTTTTGGCACAAGAATATATATACATATTTACCTTTTACAATAATAGATGGGTATACAAAATATCAATTCTCCAGAACAAAGTTAAATGCCAAAACCAACCAAAAACGTCCTTATATTTGTTGCATTGAATTCGCAAAACACTTAGGAAGAAGCCCTGGTTGACAGAGTTAAGTTCCTTGGTTAACAAAGGTGTGTTTTGTTTTGATTTCAATTGACCACAGTTAATTATGTAACCAATATTAACTGCACGTTAGCTTTAATTTTTTAAGATGAAAAATTGAAGATCACATACGAACCAAATTCATGTAATATTTTCTTTAGTCTTTAATATTTTTCTAAGTAGCCATAGCATTTTCATATAGAGAGGGAGAGCAAAACTTTAGAGAGAACTGGGATTTGGAAATGTAGGCAGGAGATAAGGATGATGGGAGCATAAATCAGAATCTGGTATGCTATGTACTACTTACCTTCAAAAGTCAAATAAAACTTTCCTCTGTCAAACCAAACGAGGGAAGGCTGCTCGTTCTCTGTATGGCCAGGAGTTGAAGCGGGATGGGGAGGGATGAGGAGAGGGAGAGAGAAGGACATAACGTGAGTTACAGAGCAGGAGTTACTCTCACCGTGGGGAGGGTGGAGGCACTGCATGCCATTAGCGTGCAGGAGAAAGGGAAGCTGGCAATCTAGGCTTTATTTTATTTTTAGTTAAGGACACAGAAAGCAAAAGCAAAGCTGTGGAGGCCTAAAGGAGTGGGTGCATGTTGCTGGCGGCTGGACACTCGGGGTGCATGGAGCGGAAGTCTTCCTGGCCATGCAGGGGCGTCAGCGTGTTTGAACTGCACTAATTTGGGCAAACTGTCATTCAGCAATTGCTGTATCCATTTCATCTTCAATGTCAGCCCCTTCTATGTTTCCAAAAAGATCAACTCAAAGTTACAGTTGTACAAAACACTAGCTCAGGTTTTAAATGACAACAGCATTGCATATGAATTTAAAGGTCATGGAAGATGTCCTATATCTTCCATCCCCTCCCCTGGCATCACCTTGGGCATCCAGACACAAAACACCCCTTACCTATGTACCAAAGAGAAAACGGGATTACTAATGGTGCTCTATTATTTTTTAAATTAAAAAGCGATGACCTCACATGTAATCCTGAGCATCAAATACTATTTCTCCTTCGTGAATTCACAGAGCAGTAGCATCTGACCTGTTTTGAAACTTTTCACTGAGAAACTGTCATGCAACCTGCTGCTTTTTAAACAATTCACTTAAACAATTTCAGGGGCGCGAGTCCCGTGATGACAGTGAACACACAGGGTGCATCTGAGAGGCACTGGACACGCATGGGGGGAGGAGCATGTCCGTGGCAGTGGCATTCGGATGGGCAATGGCTTGGATTTCTGAAGTCTGGGCATCTAGAGAGCGCTCACGAGGGCCATACCTGCAGGCGCTTCACAGCGCCTTTCAAACGAGGGCAGTTTGTCGTAAAAAACATCATCTTCTGACACTACGAACCAAAGAAACATAAACAAATGGAAAACAAAAACACAAATACAAGTCCCAGATGAAACTGAGCAGCAACTTCACTGACACACAGAAACAGCCGTAATGGGAAAAGGAGACAAAGCTCAAGACGCTGGACTTGGGCGGGACATGAACGAGTGATGTGCTTGTTTGATGATGGTTCTATGAGAAGAAGTTAAAATTTAAGCAAGTGCCAGGTTTGGGGCATCTGTGAATCTGGCTGAAGCAGTTCCAGGGAAGCAGTCACGCCCCACCTTCTCAGGGAGCTGTCAGGGCGCTGTCACTGTCAGTGACTTATGCAAGTGTGTTTTACTGCCACACAACTCCCACGTGGCCAGACGTGTGTCCACCAACAAGAGCTCCTGACCGGGCCCTGGGATTCAACAGGATCAGCCCGAGGCACCTTCCACCTTGGGGGTGGGGGGGGGGGAAATGATGCTCTTCACGTGACTGTAAAAAGGTGGGAACACAGAGCAGCACCTGTGGCTCAGTGGGTAGGGTGCTGGCCCCAGATACGGGAGGTGGCAGGTTCAAACCCAGCCCCGGCCAAAAAACAGGGCAGGAGTATAAATCCAAGGTCCTAGCTTAAACTATACCAGTTTAGCCTCCTCGATATCCAAATTTAATTTGTCTTGCACCTGCCTTTGATGGGTATGAGTTGCTAATTTTAAACAGAATTACTGTGATTTCATCTTTGTCTATGATGTTCAGCTGTGGCTAAATGTCTCTGTAAATTGGTCACAGCAGCGTGGATTGGTACTCTGGACTTCAGCTATTTCAGCTCTTACCAAGGTCTCTCTTCTCACCGAGTAAGACAGGCAGAAAAATGAGTTTTTTTTGAAGAGGGGTCAATTCTTAAGGCTCTAGGATAAAAGCCGTTAATCACAGTTTTTATTAGGCATTAATCTTTTTTTGGGTGCCTAGAAAAAGTTAATGCAACTTCTATAATACCCACGGGGTCCTGGAGACAGGCCTTTTCAAAACAACAGTGTCAGGGAAAAAAGAGACTAAAGTCAAAGGTGGAGATTTTTTCTTGAGCTCTGCAATGTCCACTGCCAAACTGCAGCATAATTAGCATAATGCAAACACGTCTCAGGAAGTGCATACAAGTTAGAGTTGTCACCAGCTGGAGAGAGAAGGCCTGGAGCACTTATCTTCTGTCTTAGATGTTATCGCTCCTACACTGGATAAAAATCAGCTGTATTCAGAGCTTGTCTGATGCGCCCCTTGAGTTCCTCCAAGACCCCTAAGATGTGAAAGACGTAACTTAAAATGCCTAATCAGCAGGGAAGGAATAAAAGGACAGTGTGGAAAACCTGGTAGTCTTTTTGCAGTGTGTCCTAAGGAAGGTCTTACAAACATTTAGAAAAGACCACAATCACCCATAGAAATAAAAAACAAGACAGAAAAATGGTTATTTACACTTAGAGACAAATCCTCATTATCTCTGTTATCTCCATCTCAAAATGCCCAGGAGTTTGTTTTTTATAATATTTAGAAAAAAAATTTAAACATTTTCCCTATTCCTTTAATATTAATAGGATTTTCTCCCAAATTATACCATACAGGTCCTGTGGGACTCTTCCTAGTGCAAAAGAGTTCATTGTATTTCACTGGTTCTAGGATGTGCGATTTTTCACTTTCTGATCTGTCTGAAATTGGGATGTGCCTTATAATTAATGTGATAAGAAAGTACTTCATCTTAGTTGAACTGGCAGCCCTTTCCCCCTTCCTTAGTCATGGGTAAAATAATGGTGCGTTTTTAAATCAAGGATGTCTGAAATTCAACAAAATGCGGTTGTGTGTGGACTCCTCATTATCTGAGCGTGAGGGTACCCAGAAAGTGCTGCTATCCCCTGTGGATCAGATTGACTACTTTATAATCACAGCTCTTGTGAAAGATCTCACACCAGAGTCGTCAGGGGCATTTTCTCATCTGAATTGTGGTGTAGAAAGTTTAGACTTGCTCTTAAGAATCTGGTTCATGAATTGCTTTAAATGTGGCTCAGCAGTTCCCACTCTACGTGCCCCAGTTTTGGCTCCAGTGCCGTAGGAAATGGCGCAAAGCATTGTGGCGGCGAGAGGAAATGTGGAGCCATCCACTTAGGGGAGTTCGCGGCTGGAGTTCTCCGCCTGCCCCGAGCCACTCAAGCACACTGGTGGACACGCCCCGGTGGTCCAGTCCAGGCCCCTGCTGTTGAACGGCCAAAAGCATGTCCTCTCCAGAAGGATAGGAGCGGCTACACGCAAGGTGCCGGGGGCTCAGTCACCTGGTAGTGTTTTTACTCCATAGGAAAGTGGCTGCCGGGCGACCGCGGCAGGAGGAAGTACTGAGCAGGAGCTCGAGGAACTCAGCAGGAGGAAGAAGCCACATAAAAACAGCAGAACCAGGCAGGTTAGATCCAGGTGCTCCTCAGCCACACAGCAATGTGACCTCCCTCTTATGTGGCAATGTTTTTAACCCCCTGTGATTCATCTTGAAGGAACCCCTACTAGATGTGTTAACAGTCAGGGGTGCCGGTGGGATTTGCCATCTCTGCAGCAGGGGGCACAGAAACTCGCTGTACAAGACACAGCACGGTTCACATTCTCTCTGTGTGTCACAGTGAGCTGAAGCTCATGTCACATGGTTCATCTGCGGTCACTTGGGGCCTGTCCAGGTCCCTGCTGTTGAACAGCTTGGGGGTTTCCAGTGACAACTCAAACTTTCAGTTCCTCTCTGATCAACAAGGGGAAGCCACGTGGGGCGGGTGAAACAAACAATCTCCGAAAAGCAAAACAAAACAACATCAACCGGGCCTTGGGGGGGGGGGACGGCTGTGCAATCAGGGAATGTAAGAGATAGAGTTAAAAAATGGATGTCATAGAAAAAGAAAAAAACAAGCAAAAAAAAAAAAAAATACCCAGAGAGAAATGAGCTTACAGACGGGGGAGAGAGAGGAAGCGTCAGATCGCCTCAGCTGACGTAACTGCACGAGTACAAACACCCTTACGTGTGTCTGTTAATGAGTCACACGAAACTGGGTGACTGGCTGTCTCGTCACCACGTTTAAAGGGTTCTTGTTGGGATGACTAAAAATGCAGAGCATGTGATACAGTTCAAATTCCTTTTGGGAGCCTTTTAAGAGGCACGATCTTAAATTATTTCTCTGAGAGATTAGACAATTTTTTCCCCCAAAAGAGCTTACAGCTTTGACGGAGCTGCTTCTCTCACCGGCTACTCTCTGGTCTGCTCTTTTGTAAGGAGCAGCCAGATGTATTTAGCTGTGGCCAGTGATTCTCCCATGCAAGGCAGGACGGGTCAGCTGGTCCATAATATGGAGGAAGTGGTGGGGAGTTCAGACAAAGGAAGATCGTGGGAAGTGGAGGTCTTGGGGGCCCGTGGAAAAAATGGGATGGGAAAGCCTGCGTCACAGACAGTGTCAGAGTGAGAGGCAGCAGGAGCCTGCGGGCGGGGGTGGGGAGAGGGTGAGACCAGCCTGGGGATGAGGGAAGTGGCTCCAGGCAAATGAGGCTTTAAACCTCAGCAGCCATCCGCTGAGCAGCCTCCTCACCTCTTCACTGCCATCACAGCACAGGGAAAGAGGCACAAAGGCACTTACTGAAAGGCAGTGACTTATGCTCTGGGAAGACTGACCACACACCACTGAAAAGCACTGGACAAAAATGTCAGAAACTTTGCTCAGGTCCCATAATGCCAACGTGCGTAACTTTGTCAGCATGAGGACAACAAAAACCGTGAGAAATGAAAGCTGGAAGAAAATAAAAGGTCTAAACTTGGTGATTTCTGACGGGGCACATGGCTGGAATTTAAACAGACGTTTCCTCTCCAAGGAGACTACTTTTATTATAAGAAATAAGATCTAAATTACAAGACCTTCCTTGGCGATTTCTTCTTCCCTTTTTTGAGTAGCTCTACATGGAATAGCAGAAGGAAACGCCCGCAAAGCGCAGGTGTCAGAGTGTCTCTGTGCCTCGGCGGGACCTGGGCCTCCTTTGCTGAGAAGGTGGTTTTAAAAGAAGAGTTGGGTGACAGCAGCACAACACACAGCAAAACAATTCCAACCAGAAACACAGGCCCTGGGACTTCAATCATGAGAAACAGCCAGTCAGAACTACAAGTGGATTAAAAGAGAGGAGGTGGCGTTTACCAACTGTGGGCGTGGTGGCTGCGCTCAGGGAGTTGGTGGACGAGATTGAAGACGTGCTCTCAGCCCGGGCTAAGGGTGCTATCGGAGGAGGGCTGGAAGAATGAATGGGAGGGCTAAAAGGTCTGGACTGCAGGGAGAAGAAAAGAGACGCAAGTTAGATCAGCAGGCTGTAATGTTTTAGTTGCATATTTCAATGTCTCCCAGCCCCGGATATGACACTGATGACACCATTTTTACTCCAACACTGACTGCATCTCCAGGACTGTGGAATGGAGCTAGAGGGGCTGTAAATACCACGCTAAGCTCACAAGGTGCCTGAGGCTTTGAGAAGCCGAGATCTGAGGCACAGCCAGTGGGTCCATTTCAGGACTGTGAACTCACATACCCCCAGGGATTGAGTGGGTAACACCTTGTGTCCATCTAAAGACAGTGAAATACAAAATACTGCACTTTGCCAGTCAAGCCAAATACTGTGAACAGCATCAGTTTGTGATTCCTATGTGTAGATGCCAAAGAAATTCACCACGGCCACGGGTCCCCTAACTGTTCACACAGGTTTTCCACCTCTCAGCACCAAAGTACAACGTCAGCCACTTGTGCAACTAACTCATCACTCTGTAGCCTGCCCACCGAGTTATCCCTGCGTTCTGGGGACGGGAGCCAGGGCTTGCCCTCCCTTGGAGTCTTCTGAAGTCAGACAGTTATTGTTACACAGTCTTTCTAAAGGATTTAGAACAATTGAAACTTACTACCGTCACTGGCATCCAACCTTCTGGGGCAGAGCCCAGGGCCCAACTGGCCAATGCTATCATTTTAGACCTTGGCTTGAATGACGGTGGAGATGTGAGGAGGGAGGAACTGTCTGCAGTGACTGTCTTTCTGATGCCACCTGTAAGGGCGGCTGGTACAAGTGCTCTAGATGCTGAGACTTGGACTTGAGATGTCCTATGTTAAGGCGTTTTGGGTGTCTGGGAATCACTCTCACCCTGGGTCTCTGGGCAGGACAGGGCAGAGGGGGACATACCACGTCTCCGACTCCAGGCTTCCCGGGAGGTAGCTTTGGCCGAGACGGAGGCCGCGGGGGAGGCGGAGGGGGGGTGGTGCTGCTGCAGGGAGCCAGCGGGGTGGCCGGTCGGGCCGGGGACGATGACCCTGGAAAACAAGGAGGCATCAGAACGGCCGGAGCCCGGTGCAGAGCTCGGTCAGCAGGGGCAGCTCCGGCCCAGACCTTTCATTTCTCACGTGTGCTGTTACTACATTAAACACTGAAGCGTATGGTTTTTTTTTCCAATAAAGAAAAAAAAATCCCTCCGTCCAACTCTGTGTGGTGGCGGAAGCTGAGGCGAATGGCCTCCTCTTGTCATGTGACCCCAGTGAAAGGTAAATCCGTTTACTCCCCGTGACAGAAGGCACATCCTGAGGCTCTTCACCGGTGGTCCGTACTTCCCATTTCAACTGTATGTGCTATCAATTTATGGTAATTCTCTTGCTTTCTCATGTACTTACAATTTGTTTCTATCCAAGGAGAACACAGGAGCACTGGCTTTCTCAGTGTGCCCACACAGCTGGTGCTGAGCAGAGGGCACGATTTAAGAAAGCAAGTTGCCTGAGAGCTTTGTATTTAAAATCTTTGTTCATTGCCCCTTCTCAACAGAGATGCTCCTTCATTACACTTAAAACCATGACAGAAACACATTGCACTTAGAGGATTTTAGTTTGCGAAGGAGGGTGTGTAGGAATCAGTAAACCTAGAATTTGGCCATGATGATGATTTTTTGGATGATTTTTGAAATGGCCTCTTGGATTTACTTTTCCGGCTGTCAATGACAAGTGTATGACACACAGAGGACACGCAGAGGCTGCCATGCACCCTGGTCAGCACACAGGTGGGGTCCCGGGACTCAGGGTCTGCCCACCTCAGTCATGTGCCTGGACCACGTGGGAGGCGCTACATGCCTGGTCCAGCACCTCACGGAAGGAAGGCAAGTCCGTGTTTAAACAGTTCTTGTTCAGAAATGTTCCAGCTCCTCCTGAGGGCTGTCACTTCGGGTAGAGGCCCAGGTATCAAACTAGTCCTCCCCAGTTCTAAGAAATCCTGCCCCAGGAAACACCTGTTCTACCCCACACCTCCCACCCCTTTGCCACCTGCACCCAGCACACTGGAACTGTGATCTCTGGAGAGTTCTAGACCAGCATCTCTAGATTTTCAGATTCTCAAAGAGCTTTGAAGCTGAGCAGCAAAAAACTACATATCAGAAAACTGCTCTGTTTTATGAGAGTCCGGGGTAGGGGGAGGGGGCGCACCTGGATCCTCTTGTTTAAACAGCCTGAAATCTGGAGTGTGTTTCTCAGAGCTGTTTGTTCTGAGTGTAATCACGTCCCTGTGGAACCCTGTCCGTAACCCCCTCGCTGTCTCCGCCTCCCTCCTCTTCAGCAGGCAGCTTGTCCTCGGTATCCTGTGTCTACTGTGTTCTTAGTATGATTGGGTCAGGGTCTATGCCAGGTACTTGGCATTATCTCACCTCCATGATGAGGGTTTGAGGTAGGTGACGTTAGAACATCAATGGAAACAGAAACTCAGAGAGATTCAGCAACTTCTCCCCAGTCACAGAGCTCACGCTGTGGATGGGAGAGCCAGGCTTTGAAACGTGGTCTCTTGTAACTTTAGACTGACGTGGTGCAGCCTCCGCGTTTTGTAGAAAGTCTGTGCTTACCCACGCGTGGCTGGCTTATCCATGTCTCCCTGAACATACATGGTATTGCTCTTCAAAACAATAAATAACTAACGGGGCCCCAACACAAAATTTTCTTTTGAATATTATGGTAGATCTGCACCCAGGATATTTTCAGAAGACAGAAGTAACAGCATAGAGATGGAAAATAAACCTTTGAACAGCAAAGTCTTAGGACATTTCATGAGGCTTCTTTTGGTGGGGCTGGGGGTGTTTACTATGCCCTAGGAAAGGGCTGAATTGTCTATGTCAGGCTATTTTTAAGAAATAGGCTTTTGAATCAATCTTGGGAAAAGGCCAGCTTTTATCATTTCCTACATGTTCCAGAAAGATAAAGTTAGAAAGTCCTTTCAGTCATGCTTGGGAAAGCTCTGTGGGGTTGTTCTGGAGGTGGTGTGGGGATTCTGAAAGCCATGGAGACCCTGGCTGGAGATGCAGAGGGTCTGAGTTCCAGCCTCCCTGCCTCCCACCTGCTGTGAGAGCTCAAACTCTCTCTGAGTCTAGATTTCTTTGTTTGAAAACATGAGACATTGTTAATATCGTATCAGGGCAGTTATAACAATCAAAACAGAAAAGGCTTGACTGTGCATGATGTGATGGTGTTCAGCCCCCAGGTGAAGGGCTCAACTACAACCTGAACTTTACCTCAGAAACAAAAACATTGTAACCTAAACATTTGAACCCTCATGCCAATCTGAAATAAAAAAGTGGGAGCAGTGCCTGTGGCTCAAAGGAGTAGGGCGCTGGCCCCATATACGGAGGTGGTGGGTTCAAACCTGGCCCCGCCAAAAACTGCAAAAAAAAAAAAAAAAAGTGAAAACACTTCTGAAGGTGTCTATATGTGAAATACTACAGAAATAGGAGCCCGTAGATGTTGCTGTTGATGGTAAAGGCTGTATTTTGGTACAAATACAACTAAAAAGTAAAGAAAAAATGTTAATCATTAATGGAAAGGTTGTTTTCCATTTCCTCTATAGACACCAGTTTAAACAAATGTTTCTGTACTAAACTGACGTCATCAATTTTTTTGTGCAGTTAGAAACTAGGAAAGTGCAAGAAGCCCTGAACACTTCACTTAAAACCCTGCTGGACAGAACCGGGAGCTCAGCGGAGGGTGCTGGGGCCCGAGCCACCTCCCCGCGGAGCTCAGCCCACAGGCTTCTGTGAGATGATTCTCTTGTTCTGGGTTTTAAGAGTGTAGATGGTTATGATTTCTGTGCCTTTACCCTCCCTCTTTGATTTTCAACAATGCCTTTCTTTCCCCCCTCAAGAGTGTTTATTTGGAAAAACAGTGCTAGAACATAAATTGGATAACATCACCATTTAAGGTTTAACTTAAAAAAAACCCATGTATATTAGGTTTTGTGAGTTTAAGCCGGTTGGCAGCTGTGGACACACTCTCAATTCATTCGATGTTCTCAGCCTACAGCCGGGTCCCAGCTTCCTGGGTGACTCCTGACCCCTACAATCCCGATGTGCAACTGTGTTTCTCATCACAGGGCTGGGGAACAGGGAAGGTGGCTGGGGACGTTTGGCCAAGTAGAGGCTCAGAATTCAGCAGATCTGGGGCCAGACCCTGGCTCTGCTACTTACACAGGTTACTATGAAAGTTTTGGGACTGTGTTATGGGTTATTATTTCACTTCTAAGAAGCACAGTAGCCAGCGTCCTTCCGGATTCACTGAGTAAGTTTCAACTTGCTCGGCTCATCAGAGCTGCTGGGAGGCTTCATTTGTTTCCTTCCACTCAGATTTTGTATTTCTTGGTTTTTGGGTATCTCAAAACTTTCATGATGACTCATGTGGATTAGCTTTGCGACCATGGCCAAGTTATCTATTTTGAGCTTCTGTTTTCTTGTCTACAAATGGTTCTAATAACACCATTATTAGAATCAAGTGAATTAAGATGTATGCACCTGGAGAAATGTGGAGAACTAAATAAACTTTCCAAAATTGTGTTTCTTAGCACACAATTATACAATTTCTTTGAAAATATATACATCATGGTTATATACTATTTTTTTTTAATGACCAACAACACTAAAGCCTTAAAACGGTCCTGTCCAATAGAACGTTCCACAATGATGGAAGTGTTCTAGAATGGCATTGTCTAGTGAGACAGTCTCTAGCCACATGTGGCTGGCAGCACTCGAATTATGGCTGTTGTATCTAAGGAACTGATTTTTACATTAATTCTAAGTTATTAAAATTACAATAACCACATGCAGCCAGTGACTCCCATACAGGACACTGCTCTGCTAAAAGTCTTGTGTTTGGTTAGTTCAACCCCCGTCTCTCAGACCTACTTGTTTATGGACGCGTGTGTGTTGAGTGTAACACCTTTTGTATTATGTTAGTTTCCTAAGTTGAAAAACGTCCTGGACGTCCTCTCTTTACGCATCTCTTCTTGCCCCCAAACTCACTGAAGGCCAATATGACTCCTTTCCTTCTGTCTCCTGGCGCACAATCCACGTGCGAGGAGAAATAGCCTTTGCTGAGAATCAGTCTGTGTGCCTGCAAAGCACTCATCTGGCCAAGTGGGGGTATTTATAATTTTTTGCCATAAGGAAATTAAAATTCCTGGAGTGAATTCTTAACTTCTGCTTTCCAACAGCAGGTAACTCTTTTGATTCACAGGCTGTAGGTGCTGTCTACGCTTGGTCAGTGACAGTTCCATTGCTGTGAATGAAATTTTAAAAGCAAGCATAATGGTTTCTAATTAAACAGGAGAAGCTGGTTCCATTGGGCGGAGTGTTATAAAAAGCAGACACAGAGGAGAGTTTCTAATCTTTAAAGCACGAGACAAAATCCTAAACTTTCTATATAAAATATACATTTCTGACAGTTTTGTTATATTCTATCAATAAAAGAGTGAGTAGCAGATAAATGTGGACTTAATTCAGGAGCTGATGGTACAAAGCTGGGCTCCAGTGGCCCAGTTCAATCTTCACTTAGAAATCTAATCAAGCTTAATTATTAGGACTCGATAATCTTTACTGGTAACATTTTAAAATAATTTTGAATAAGGGCACAGAAGTACCTTTCAATAATGACAAGACTCTCAAAAGATTCTAGATTTTAAAAAAATCTCCTTTCTTCCTCGTTAGGTCAGTGGTCGATTCAATTAAACACGTGTCTCTCAGTGCCTTACGACAGGTGACGGATGGAGCAGAGATGAGCACCAAAGCCCCTTTCTGCCCCACCCTGACCACAGGTGCCCACTTTGAGCAGTGCATCCTGGACTTCCCCGGAAGGGGTGGATATTCCTTGAACGTCCTTTCAAAAGACAGAGAGCCCGGCCCCAGAGGGAGAGCCTTGCAGAAAGCAGCAGAGATGCACCTGTCTTCTACAAAGGTTGGAAGCGTTCCTGGTTTTGCCGTCTGAAGGCTTTACCCCGGCCGAGGCTTTGTCATCTTTACAGGTGTGAAGGGAGTTTTGCATCCTCAAAAGGACTCTAGAAGCCCTAAGGGATGGGAATGTCTGGTCTCCCTAGCATTAGAGAAAGGAGCACAGAGGTGTATGTTTTGGGGAGACTTTGTGGTGTTATTGAGGGCACTGCTGCATAGGTCGGTGCCAGTGGTGAAATAAGGTCGTGATATTTTATACACAAACCTTACAAAAGTGCCTGGCGAGCACAGTGGGGTAGGGCCAGACAGATCTGAGTACAACTCTCGAATCTATTACTTCTAGTTTGTAAACATGGGCAAGTCTTTCCATCTGTAAAATGGGGGAGACGTCAGTATCTACCACACAGGACAGCTGTGAGGCTGAGACAGCATTGACAATGCACTTGGCCAGGTGCTGGGACGGAAAGTATAGTTCTTGTTACTGGCAAAATAAAGACTCCTGAAGGGCCTACGGTAAAGACACTTGCTGATTTGGTTTAATGCAACATTCCCCCAACTTACTTGAGTATTAGACAGTTTTTCTTTTCTGGGAGAAGAGGCCTGGTTGGGGGGGCACCTAACATATGAAGCATCAGTTTTGTGGGCATTCAGGTGAATTCCCAGCCCTGTCCTTGATCACTGTGGATGCTCTCACCAAAAGCACAGGGGCCTTTGCAAATACTGACCACACTCCACTCAAAGAAACATGGGAATTTCTGTCTCTGTAGATCTAAGCGCTTTACACCTGCTGTTCTTCCAAAGTAAACAGAAAACCAGTGGTGCACAGTCCTGGGAGGCACCTGAACCGAGTCCCCTGATGGGAGGGGAGGTGCTGGAGGGTCTCCACGGACAATTTGAGCAGCAGAGGGACAAATGATATGGAAGAAGACCCATGTGGACCATCTTGATGTTTCTTTAGTATGTATGGCAACTGTTATTACCTTTCATAACTAGAAAATGCAAAATGAAGCTTTGAATAAAGGAAACAAAACAAAAAGTAAATTCGGTATCAGAATTGGCATAGAGAATCCTGAGTGTTACGTTTCTGGGTAGCTTTTCCCATCACCTATCACCCCACTCAGAGCTGACCTCGGAGGCTGACGAGTGTGTCAGGGGTGAGATCAGAACATGGGCGTCGTCATGACAACGTGATGACGTCATGACAACGTCAGACCGGGAGCGCCGTGTCAAGTGTCGTGTTTTTTGTTGTTTTTTTTTTCTGTTGTTTCCCAAAGTCTCCCTTTCCAAACCTTACCTTCACGTGGTAAAGAATCAGAGGGATTAACACAATTCTACCCAAACAACGAGAACAAACACAACAAAAGAGGAAAATGAAAAAGAAAAGGAAAAAATAGAAAACAAGGGCCCCCTCCCACCATTGCCTGTAAGTCCAGGGTCCTCATGGAAGCCTCTGAAAAGGAAATCAGAGATTTTGCATAAAACTGACTCACTGTAAAATCTGTCTTTCTGGAACTTTCCTGAATTCCAAACAATGACATCATCATAGCTTTCCTTAAGGAACCCGTGTCTCCTAACTGCAGAGGGGGAGGGCGGGCTCTCGTCAGGGCTGGGAGTGCAAGGCAGGACACATCCACAGACTCAGACCATGACCGCGAGCACTGGGTGACAGGGACAAGCCGGGCCCGCGGGACGCGCAGACCAAGGAGGACGCAGAAGCTCTAAAGCCAAGTGCCAGGCAGAGGCAGGTGTCACACGGCAGCAGCACGCCACGCCCACCACACGAAGCACACCCAAGCAGGAAGACGTACCACTGGTGGTCCCCGCACCACTGCCCGAGCCAGGTCCGGGGGACGAGACCACAGTCCTGTAGGTGGGTGGTGGTGGGGGAGGCGGGGTTGCTCTCTGTCCCAGCCCAAAGTCTTTAGGAGATGAGATTGTTTCTAAGTAATCATCTTTAACGAAGGTCTGCTCAGCGCCTTTCTTCTGGATTTCTTCTAAATTTAGTGGTGAAGGTACATTTCGAGGAGGCCCGGGCGGCCCTGGGGGGCCTGGGGGTGCTGGGGAGCCAGGAGGGCCTGGTGCTGGGGAACCAGCTGGGTTGTCTGGTGCAGCTGGTGGGGACACCGCCTGTTCCCTTGGAGTCAACTCCGGAGCAACATGTTCCGGGGACGTGTCAGAGAAATGGACCCACTTTTCTTCAGCATTAACCGCGACAGACTTGGGGGACAATACTGGGCCAAAAATGCTGTCCAAGTCATTGATGGATGGTAGCTTTTCAATTTTGACCTCTGCGGCTGATTGGTCATTTCCTGTGGTTAGAGTAGGTGATTTTAAATTTTGACTTTTAAAATATTATTTGTATGGGGAGGTGGGAGGGGTGAAGCAAAGCTTGGCAGATATACAGCCTGGTGAGGGGGCATGTTTCGGGTGTAAAAGTATCTTTCTTGGGTTAGGAGCGGAAGGTGAGGGGAGAGGTCCCCATCTCTATAACGTGAGCATCGACTTTCTATGCTATTATTTACTGTTACCAGCTGCCCACACTTAGCTACTTTCCCCATCATTTAAAGCCCTGAGAGTGACGCTGCCGGCAAAGGCCACTCACAGGTGCACAGAGTGTGCCCATTATGAGCGGGCAGTGCTGGGCCCACAGAAACGGGCTCTGAACTGCAAATTCCAAAGGGAAGTCACTTCTGAAAATTTGGCCTACTAAAATACACATAATATAAAAAGAATTGGCAACTAAAAATCATCCTCATATTTCATGAAGATTGTCTACCTTGGCACATTAAATGAAAAGGTTACAGCTAATTATACGGAGTACTATCTGTTAGTGTAAAAAAGTGGTCACAGCACTTCTCAGCCTTTTGTCTGAGATCGAAAAAGTGGTTGTGTCACATTTGGCTAATATCCTCTATCTTAAATACAGCAGAAATATAGTACAGAGATTCTGTCAAGAGCTAACTCCACACGGAGAGTTACAGACACAGACACAGACACCCCACGTTCAACATACATATAGGTTATTGAAGAAGTTTTAAAAACTGTACATATATACCTGTTTAATATGGAATAAAACTATTAAAAAACTTTATAATCATTTTTTTTCTCATCAAGTCTAATCTGGTACCATCATAACTATGATAGAGCTCTCTCGGAAGTCACAATACAGAAAAGTCTCTTTTTTAAATATATTAACATCAGCTATTCTTTTTAATTAATATCAATAATTAAAATTTTGATTTAGTCAGAGAAAAATGTGAAAACAATCTTCTAAAATTTATACCTGACAACTCAGTGGTTCTCAACCTTCCTAATGCCCCGGCCCTTTAATATAGTTTCTGTGGGTTGCAAGCCACAGGTTGAGCACGGCTGTGATAACCAGTGGGATGTGAGGAACTACACTTTTTTAAACCGAGGTTATTGGCATTATAAATTGTTGCTCAATAACTGGAAGGCATCAGCAGAAGACACCTGACCTTTAAATGACCCTTGGGCTACAAGAACCAGCTTGGCATTTCCATATTTCTAGTTGGAAAGGAATTAACTTTCAAGGTTCCGAGGGTGCAGACATATGGGCTAACACTTTGCAGATTCACAGTATTGATACTTGTGTCACCAGTCCATCTATTTATATGTAACATAATTTGTGGAAATACAAGGAACCAAAACCTTTCCCTATAAAACTGTGGCTGGCTCTCGACTGGGTTTGAGTTGATATAAATTTCATAAATGACTGTGTCTTCGTTCGTGTTTGGTGATGAATTCCCTGCACTGTGGCCATCAAACTCAGCAGGCTGCACACACAGCAGAGGACGGAGCTGCAGCAGGAATCCAAAGATGATAAACGGCTACGTTTGAAGGGCCAGGACACATAAGGTAACTGTTACCACTTCTGATTTGCTAGTCCAAGAAGGCTTGGCAGGTTATAAACTGTACTAATATGCAGTATTGATTTTAATAGAAAGTTAAATGTGCCCTAGAAAATATCTGTCCAAAGGCACACGGCCTCTCTGCCATGGGCGAATACCTACTCGATGACCCTGAAAAAAAAATCCCCCCCACCAGGATGCTGCACATTTGAGGAACCCCTGATGCCTTTGTAGTTGGATTGGCTCTTGAGACTATTAATCTATAAATCATTACAGTGAGATGCCGTGAAGACTGTGGTTAATTCAACATGACTTTTCATATTGAGCTCTTTTTCTTTTTATTTTACAAGTGTGGCCCTTATTTAACAAAATTCCACCAAGGAAAAACCAACTGAGAATTACTTGTTTTTCTGTGAAACCTGGGAGTGGTGCTTTAAAAATGAACCTGCACGATAAATTATAATGGAAACGAGACAGATGCCAGCACACGGCGTCTCGGGGGCCCAGGTCCCCACCCAGCAGGTGCGCCCGGGGGTCCCTGTGCCTCCTCTCCCCGTGCACAGCAAACCGAAGCTTACCCAGTCCTACGGTTAAGGGGGAGCCTGTTCGGGGTGGGGTTGCTGGTACGTTTTTCGGAGGCAGTGGAGGAGGCGCTGCAAAGAGATGAGAAGTGGGTTACTGACTGCGCCCAGCTCCCCTGGGGCACACGCTGGGAGGTGTCTGGGGGGCTCCATCACTTATATCCTGCTGTGGGAAACAGAGTCGCTATCAAAGGCCCACGTTTTTTTCAAGTTAAAAGTTACAGGCCTGAAGTTGGATCCATTTGGTTCTTCCATTTTACGAGACTAAGAGTTTGTCCAAAGAATGCAAGGCAATAATAATATCACCATTTTACTCATTGAAGTATCATTCAGCAAACCTCAGACAACAAGTAGGCCCCACGTCCTGTGCCAACCCCTCAGACGCAGGGGTGAGCACAACGGGCATCTGCCCTGGAGGAATTTAGGACCGGCTGAGCCAGCATCGTGTTGACAGACAACTACAGGGCAGGGTGTGAGAGTGGAAATGGTGACAGGTGGGGCCAGTGTCAGGTGAGGGGCTTTTAATCTAGTCAGGATGTGATTTTCTGGATTGAGTCTAGAAAGATTTCTCAAAGTTATATTTCTTAAATTTTGATAAATTTTTGAAAGTTGGAAGTAAAGCAACCTGGGTCAAAGAAGAGCAAACAGATTATTTTGGTCAAAACTGCAGCCAGACAAAATACTCAGGTAAAGCCTGGTGTCATGGTCTCGACCAAGAGATAAGATATCACCCTTCTGAACTGGACTTGTCACTGTCAGCAAAGTTTGGAATTAATGTTTCAACAAGTTCACTATTCCCTCTTCTTCTTCCTCCTCCTCCCTTCTCCTCCTACATACACTGGGGGCCGGTGGGTTTGAACCCAGCCTGGGCCTGCTAAACAACAATGACAACAATAACAAAAAAAATACCCAGGCATTGTGGTGGGCACCTCTAGTCCCAGCTACTTGGGAGGCTGAGACAAGAGAATCATTTAAGCCCAAGAGTTTGAGGTTGCTGTGAGCTGTGACACCACGGTGGCACTCTACAGAGGGCAATATAGTGAGACTCTGTCTCAAAAAAAGAAAAAAAAGTCAACCAGGGGCCCTGCTCCTGATTAAGGGTCTCTGAAAAAAAAAATAATCAAGGCCATAATCAACAGAATATCATAAAACAAATAAGATAATATAAAATCCTAATAACTAAAAAATACTAAATTTATGTTGCAACCACAAAATGAGCAGAATTACACAATGCACATCAATGGAACAGCAGTCTCCACTGAGCTGAGTGTAACCACAGCACACAGAACCAGCCATTCTGTGATGCCTATAGTTGGACTCAAAACCAATACATCACCTACAGAAACATTGTATTTGTTTACCTTTTTGGCATTTAGGAAGGATTTTCTAGGAGAAATTTGGATAGCTCAGGTCTGTAAAGAGAGCTTTACAAGGAAGTTAGAGCTTCTCCACTGCTTTTGTTCTCCAGCAGGAGGGAGAAAGTATAAAGTTATGCTGTGTGGTTTAAATCCCTCCAAAACACATCTTGGAGGTTCAGAAGTTAAAAAAAAAGTCATTGATACTGCTGGCTTTCCTATCCTTTTTAATAAGGGAAATATTCTTAGAAAGGCTGGATCAGATGGATTTATAGCAATAATTTTCTCAACAAATAACCTCTTGGCCTTTGACTCCTGAATCCTCTTGGTTAATTCTTAATGATCATTTGTATGCACCCCAAAGCAGAACCCTGGGGACGCTGAACTGTAAAAAGGATTGGTTGGTCTGTATGTGAACTCTCAAAATACCTGAGTGCCCCCCTTTCACTCAAACCCATCTTTTTTTCTGAAATCCAATCTCCCATGAGTATTTTAAAGAGGATTTTCCACATGTGCGCTTGTCAGGAGGAGTCTACTTAAAGGGGGATCTAGCAGAGTCATAGGAAAGGCGGCTTGGCCAAATGAGCATCCATCCAGCCCCCAAAGTCCAACCACCATGGAGGGAGGGCTGCATCGATCTTCAGGGCCTCCCTCCCCAGACACCTGTAGTGGGGGTGGGGTGCTGGAATAGCGGGGCTGATGGTTGCTTTGACGTGAATTTGCCCTGACCTCCTGTACCAGCTGCCTCTACCACACAGCCCTTTCCTCTTGCTCTAATGGTTACTCTCTCCTGTCAATGAATCCTTGTGTCTCCTGCAGCTTTGGGCTCTGTGGGACCAGCAGAGCCGTTTCTGGCTTGCTCACCCGACAGCCCGGTGCCGGGGACGCAGCAGCTTCTCGGCTCACGTGCTTCTCACTCTTACCTACACACAGTGAATGAATGAGAGAATGATCAAGGGAAAGGGCACAGGATGCCAGCAGAGGCCACGGTTCCAGGTTAGTCTTTTCACTTTATTGTTTTCTTCCTGCTTGGACCCTTTAAAACATCTCTTCTTGGAACCTCAGAGTCCCAGTCTGCTTCCATAGCCTGAGCGCTGCCTAACCTAGTGCTGCTGACAGACGGTAACACCAGTCACTTATTCTTCCAGACAGAGCAGACACACAACTTACTTCCAGTGGGAAAAGTCCTGGTTAACTTTGGCGACTCCGTGCTGGGGTTAACTGGTTGGCCTGGGCCCCATATTTCAGGCTGATCTAAAAGAACTGGAAACATAAAAAATTTCCCAGGTCAGTTAAACAACAACAGCAACAACAAAACTAAGCCAACAACCACCCACCCACCCCCTGGATTTTAGAACTTAGTGTCAATTTAAAGTTGAGCTTTGAGAGATTCTTTCCCTCTTGCCTGAGGACTGAAAAGCGAATCTGAGAATGTGCTTCTCCCCACGGAGACAGACGCGCAGGGCAGGGTGGGCGGGGCCTGTCTGCGCCGTGGCACAAAGCTTTAGGGCGAACCTGAACTTCCCTCCCAGGGGGTCGCCTAAGGACACTCTAAGCCTCAGTTCATGTGTGGGCTCCATGGCTGCTGCGCTTGAGAATCTAGGCATTAATCCCACGGACGTTTGTTTTGTTGTGAATTGATTTATTTAAAGTCTGCCTCTAATATGCTTCAAAACTGAAAATGCCTTGGCTCTGTTCATGGTTTCTACCTCTGAAGGGTCCTGTGGGGTCTTTAAATAAACATTTTGCAGCCTCATAAAGAGAAATTAGAACCACGAAAGCTGACAGGTGCAGCCATCTGAAGTAATCAATGCATTTAGGTTTAGAGGCTTAATGTTTCTTTTCTTTTCTTATTCTGATTTTTAAAAACCGCTAGCTCTTCTCAGCACAGGGCAGGACCATGCAAGGACTGCCATATTCACGAGGTCGTGAGCCCAGGCTGGGGATTGGAATCCAGCTCTACTCTGCCTGCAGGTCTGGGGCACGTCACTTCAACGCTCTGAGTGCCCTCCCTCAGCGCACAGCGATGGGATCACAGCAACCTCAGAGAGTTACAAAGAGGATTAGGGGAGGTGATGCGATACGGTGCGTGCAAAATGCAATACAACACTTATCAGAAAGCCAGGAGCTGCTGCTATGTGTTGATGTGGTTGATACCCGGGTCCCACGGGAGAGGAAACCCAGGATCTGGAGTGGTTACAAAAGAACTGGAAACATAAAACATTTCCCAGGTCAGTTAAAAACAAACAGATGCGTCTGTGGTGAGAGCAGAGGAGGTGGGGTCTCACCCAGGAATATCTGGCTCCAAAATACATATTTTTCCCCTAGGCCTTTTCAACTGGTGATAGAAAAAGCCACCTAAAGAAGTAAGGTGAGCAGGGCAGCTCCTGTGGCTCAGTGAGTAGAGCGCCGGACCCATAAGCCGGAGGTGGCGGGTTCAAACCCAGCCCTGGCCCAAAACTGGAAAAAAAGAAGAAGAAGTAAGGTGAGCAGGGCGGTGCCTGTGGCTCAGTGAGTAGGGTGCTGGCCACATATACCAAGGGTGGCGGGTTCAAACCCAGTCCTAGGCAAACTGCAACAACAACAAAAATAGCTGGGTGTTGTGGCGGGCACCTGTAGTCCCAGCTACTCAGGCTGAAGCAAGAGAATTGCCTAAGCCCAAGAGCTGGAGGTTGCTGTGATCTATGATGCCATAGCACTCTACCAAGGGTGACAAAATGAGACTCTGTCTCTAAAAAAAAAAAAAAAAAAAAAAAGGAAGTAAGGTGAGCAGATAAGAAAGGGAGGTATGGGCATTGGAAGGGCGAGCTCGGTTCATGCCAAGCACTGACACTCACAGGACGTCAGGGCCTGAAACCACCCAGAGAATAGTGAAGCCAGGTCGCAGGCAAGGGCGGGTGCACCTGCTCCATCACTAACCTCACATGTGGTCTTACTTAAAATGAAGACAAACATTCTCCACCACAACAGACTTTCAGCTGGCCACCTGCACCCTTCTCTCCAGGGGGCTTTGGCTGGGAGTAGAGAGTCTCTTCTACTCACTCACTGGCAGTGAGTTCCACCTGCCTTCTCTCCACCCCACTTCTTCTGACGGGGAGCTGAGCAGCCCCTTTGGATCCAGAGAGAAGGGTAACATGGTAGAGCTGGCAGAGCTGCCCACCAGTCCATACTGTTACTTCTAAAGTTCTACTTTGTTTCACTCAATGTAGGTTGGAGTCTTTTTGTTAGTGTGGCTTAGCTTACTCATTATGCTTCCAAGTCTAATTGTCCTTAACACTTAAGACACCTCTTCATCAGTATGTCCCGGGGAAACATTGTATTATATACGTGCCATGGACTGGAAATGCACGCATTAGACACAAACACATTTCTGCAACTGATTAGATGCCCTTTATGGAGAGTTTATTTTACAAGTTATTAACAGCCATCCTCCCATAACCTGGTTAATTCAAAAAAGTTCTAGGAATACTGTGTGATAGGCAAGTTCAACAATAATGTCAGAAATGAAATGCAGCACTTTATTTCAAAGTTGCTGAATGATTCAAGATTTTTCCTGGGTCTTCAGCCAACAAACAATGACTGTTGTGAGCAATCCAAGTGACACACCACTGATGAGATGGCAGAGAGTGACCGTGGCCAGAGAGGCAGGTCCCAGGGAGGTGCCCACGCCCGCACTCCTGCTGGCACATCGAGTGACGGCATTTACTCCTCAAGGTTCATGTGGACCTGCATTGGTTTTAACTGACTAATTTTGAGGTATAAAATATTTTTAGCTATTAGATATTTCTGGAAGTAAAGTTTCAAATTCTGAAATAATAGAGGTTTGCCAACTAGACTCCTGTTTTTGACATCACACCTAGATCAGAAGTTTTCTCTCCCATGAGGAGTTCACAATATATTGAAAACATGCCCCTAAATCGATATTTTACTCTAGAAAGGTTGTATTGTAATAAAAGTCAGTAAAAGCCCAGGGAGAACAGGGTGCTTCCCTACCTTCTGTCTTTTGCTCATCAAAAGCTGATTCTAGTGGTGGGCCAAAGAGGGGTGCCAGGGCCACAGAGTCCTCCGGAGGCTTCTTGCTAAATCACACACGTTAAGGTAAAATACAGAGAAAGGGCTCAAAAGTCAGTGCTGGAAAAGACACACAAGTTTCCAAATATTTTTCTTAGTAAAACAAGTGTGTGTGCAAATGTGTGTGCAGGTGTGCATATGTGCATGCACGCACGTGTGTGTGTGTAGGTGTGCATATGTGCATTCATGCACTGTGTGTGCATATGTGCACGCACGTGTGTGCAGGTGTGCATTTATGCACGCACGCATGTGTGTGCAAAGCCCTGTAGAGCTGTGAGTGTCACATAAGGATGTCAAATGTGTGGGGGACAAGAGAATTGGTAGCAGAAAAGATCCCTGGTTCTCCGTGGAGGACCAAGGTGCTGCTCTAGCAAAAGTGAGGTGGAGAGAAACTCTCTCAAAGCATCATGACTGTCTCCACCTTCAGGACACACCGCTGAGGTGGCAGAGTGACCGTGGCCTGAGGTAATACTTGCTGTAACAGTTTATTGCAAAGCGCCTTTCTCCCCTAAGATCTCCACACCCATTTATATTTATCTCCCCACATCTCTGTGCTTAGTTAATGCAGTTTGTGATTGGCTGAAGTCACACATGGGATTTTAAATGACAAGCCACCCAGGAAGTTTTTCATCCTTCTCTTTCCCACTCAACCGAATGGTCACAACATCCTCCGAGCTCAGACAGCAGCACATCTCCGAGGGGAAAAGGAGCAAGAGGTCAGGGAAGCAGGAAATTAAACTCCCCTTCTGTGTCCCGATTATTCTTTTGAGGAAAGGCTGCACTACCTTCACCATTTCCCCCCAAACCTGCTTCCCCTCATTGGTCTTAATGCGGCCTGTGTAAGGGGTAAGGGTTGAAGCTGGGGGCGGGGAGAGGTGGGAGCAGGAGGATCCTGCCTTGCGATGGAAATAGCAGCCTTTTTAGGAAATAATACTCATTTGTGTAACACTTGCTTGACCCAAAGTAGTCACTATAAAATATAATGCTTTGCCAAAACCACAAACTAAACTAGAATATTCCTCTGGTGGGTGGCAGGTGCATCATAAAACTGTATCCAACCAGACAGGATTCCCTTCACAGGGCAACATGCTCAGGTTTCAGGTCAGCGTTCCAGACCCCAAAGACTGCGCTATAGAACTGCAGTCTTCCTGGAGCTGAGCAGCCTGCACGTCCCGGCAGGCAGTTCAGTGCCAAGCTTTTCCTACTGGTCTCCCTCAGGCTGCACTCAGAAATGATAACACATTTGGACCATGCTATGAACAGGTGGAGTTACACGGATAGGTAGGCCTTTTATTACCAAGAGCCAAGAATTTAGCCCAAATGAGATTTCCTTAATTGTTAAAAGTTGGAGATGCCTTGCACAAAACACAACTGATATCTTCACACTCACCTTACAAGCTCCGGTGTTGGTGTGGAACGCCTGGGTCGTGCCACTTCTTCACCTGATGCACGGGACAGAGGAACATTTAGGGCATATTTTTACCCTTCCCTTCCGAGATGTCTTAGGAATTATGTTTGGAAACACTTAGAGATTTAAGTCCTCTCAGTAAGTAGCTCAGTTTGAAAGCTTCACAAAACAAGCCTGCTCCTCTGGCAGAACAAAGCCACATATTAGTAGCAGCATTTTCTCTGGCATTTGTAAAACCTCATTAGCCAAGGAACTGCTGTGGTAAACCAGCAAACAGAAGATTTGCGCACTGCAGAGCTTAGCAGGGGAGCAGGCCATTCGGGGAATGTCTGCTGCCGTGCCTGGTTCTTCTTCCCAATTACCACAAAAGCACACTGAGCCAGGCCGTGTGTGCAGCTTGTGAATCCGGCATTCTCTGCCTGTTCATGTCTTGATATGCCAAGAAAATGTTATATCTTTAACTATGAATCATGAATTTAGAATTCCCTAGAATGTGTTGCGTGCAGCAGAGGAAAACTGTGCCCTAAGTATATTATAACCTATATCATATCACTTTGGTTGACTAAAATTTTTATTTCAAATAACCCAGGAATGGGTAAATTGCAGCTACTTCAGTTCTGTCTTCCCGCCTCCTCTTCCCACCCTCCCATCAACAGATACACATTTGATTAAATTCATCTCTAAAAGTTAAATACAGCAAGAGTTAACAAACATGGGATGAAAATAGCAATGTTTTTCCAAAAGCGTATTCATTTTCAGAATTTAAACATTAATCATTAGGAACCCACAGGGATTCATTATAAGAATTCTTTTCTGTAAAAGTAAAAAGAAAAATTGTAAGCTTTAAAAATCAAGCCCGAGAGTATAGAATTCAAATGTATATATGCTCCAAGGTCCAAGGAACTATTCCTTCTTTTAAATTGTGCTCTATTTCTGGTAGCTAAGATATACTTACTGGATAAGTTCCTTTTAATTGCACCCTAGAATTAGAAATAAACACTATAAGGTTTAAGACCACATATATGTTATGTACAATATGTATTATTTCTATCATTGCAATTAAACTGAATTCAAAGACATCCAGATGTGGAAAATGAGCTTTTTCTCATAACCACATTCAGGTTGGAAATTGCAGATACATACACATAAATCAGATTTTCATTTTCCTCCAAGATTAGAGAGACAAAGAGAGGGCAAATCATGAGGCTTCAAGATCAACTCCTTACCTGGGGGGTGTGGTGAACTACAGACAAATAGTGAACTGTGTATTTAAAAAAGACTCTTGAACTCTAGCAGGTAAGAACATAAATATAGGTTTAAAATTTGTTTGGGGTGGTGCCTGTGGCTCAAGGAGTAAGGGCGCCGGCCCCATATACCGGAGGTAGTAGATTCAAACCTGCCCTGGCCAAAAACAGCAAAAAAAAAAAAAATAAAAAAAATTGTTTGATGTTTGAAAATTATAGAATCTGTTCAGGAGTACAGTAGGCCCCTGGTCAGGTGGGGTCATCAAGGAGCTGATACAATCGCAGTTTACAAATGTGATTTCACAAGATGTAAGTGGCAAGTGTTCAAGGCCGTGGGAGCATAGAGGCATCTGCTAGTGCTTGGGCAGCTGTGTTCAGGGAGCAGGGGATTCCACCTGCCCACCTCAATTCCTCCCACCAGCACTGCCAACCCACCCGTGGGAGGTTTTTTTGTTTTTGTTTTGGCTCAAGGCCATTTTGATATTATTGGAATAAAATAGCCCTGGCAGGAATAATCTGAGCAGGACATCTCTCCCTTTTATGCATACAACTTATTTAGATAGTAAAAGGATGGATCAGATTAAAAGTTTTGATTAAAAAGCAGAAGCTGTAAAGAGTTCCTACATGGGATGCTACCAGGGAAGGGGTTCATTGGGAGGTTGCCCCCTGGGACAGGGCAGAGAAAGTGGAAGTGAAATATGGGGTCCACGGGCTGAGACCAGGAGCGAATTTGCGGAGTGGCCGCCAACGCATTTTTTCCTGCTTCCTAACTGTTGTAAAGGCTCAATCCAGTAGCCACAGGTGTGTATTCTTCTCTCAAATTATATAACCTGATAGATTAGACAAGATTTAGCAGCTCCGTTCTAGCCCTCTGGGAAGGTTCTTTCCCTCTTTCCTGGGGATATATAGGATTTCCCCCCATATTGAACTCATTTACAACGGAAGAGTTTCAGTTGGAGCAGGAACCCATCAATTGTTTCTCCATCTCTCAAGCTCTGTTTTCTGGCTTGTTTTACTAATAACGTGGTCTGTTTCTCTTATTTCGTGTGCATAGTGAGAATTATTATATCATCATGGAAAATTTTCAAGTAAATACGGTCACTTCTATCTGCTGTAGTCATTATGTGAGTTTGGGTACAGGTTTGCTTTTGGAAAAAGAAGGCTCCGAAGACAGAAATAATTAAGGCAAAAAATTACTTAAACAGAGTTCAAATGTTTTTCTGGGTTGTGGACTTTCAGATAATAATAATTTCTTTTATAAGGTCTGAAAAAAGAGCTACAGAGGCTTTAGTTCCAAGTAGTCCATCACAAGATTAAGAAGCTACCAGAGCTCACCCAGCACGTAAGACCTGAAGTCCAGGTCTGGACTGGGGGATCCCAGGAGCTGCCCCGAGGACTTCTTGGTCTTTCTGTCTTATTCTTTTTATTAAAAATGCAGTAGAACCTCCGCAGCTGACCTCCTCACATTGACCACTTCAGGTTGACCTGATTCTCAGACTGGACATGCTCCATATGTGCCTATCAGCACGGTAGGCCTTGTTCCCATGGTGGTCACCTCTGTGTGCTGGCTGGTTTGCTACGGTCCCTCGGGCACTCAACTCACAGAGGTCTGACTGCACAGGACCCACAAAACCATGAAAGACACGAGCTGCTTTTTGTGTTCATTACTGGGTGTGACAATGACTCAACAGGTGCTCACTGTTGAAAGGCACTAAATTCCCTCTAACATTCACACTAAACTTCCTCACGGATCAATGGTCACGAGTTACGCACAAGTACGACTTGGCAGAAACGTGATAGAAAACTCTGTTGTTTAGAAATCAGGACAAATAAAACCAGTATCTGTTTAGAAAGGCACAGGGTCTGAAGGGCCAGCAGGAAATCAGCAGCAACAGAAGAGAAGGGCTTGTTACGTGTGGCTGGTGGATCCCGGCCGGCCTTACTGCAGCGAGGCCACCCAGGCCAGGTGGGGTCACGGCAGCCGTGAGAACCATGCTCAGGAAAGAGCCCACTCAGTTCACACTCTCCTCCCCATCAAGTGCCCATATTTTCCTTTCAATGATTGTTGTTTTTCACTCTTCTTCATTTACACAAGAGTAACTTGTCCCAATCTGTGGAGTCACTTAGCAGCTGTGTTGGAATCACCCTACCCAAGTCCCTGCAGACGCAGCATTTGGACCTCAGTTCACACAGGTTACGTGGAGAGCCACCGACGTGCCACCTGCGGGAGCATTTGCCTCCGGTAACACTCGGCCATCAGGTCCACACTGGCCTGTGACCACCTCACAGGGCACTGTTGTCAGTTCTACCTCCCCCCTCAGGGACTGACCAGGCAGATGGAATCATTTCAAACATGGCAAACGACCTTTCTTTCTGATGCTTTAAACTCATCATATTCTTGACCTTGAGGACGATGGGTGAGAATCCACTCGCGTCATGTAAACTGATACTGATCTGACCTTCCACAGTCAGTCTCCACTGCTGGGACCTGTTCAGGGTTTCACGACAGCCTGGGCCTATGGACTGGGCAGTGCCCTCTCCCCGGTGGAAACTCTAATTATGAATCAGCACTGCCTGGCCGCTGTAAGTTATCATCAGAGACATATTCTGAATTCAAGCTTAGAAACACTGTGGCTTAAAATTGTTTCCTTACAATATTTATTTGTTATTCTTCATCATCACCTTGCTATCAATTCCATAGCGCTTCTGGGTCAGTCTCCCGCCCACACACACACACACACACATATTTTCAAATTCAGCACTAGGAGTTGAGATTCCAGTGTTAATTTAGTTTTTATGGAAAAGTGCTCTGACAATTCTAAAACACGTCCCTGACATTTAGAGGACCAGAGGCTTCAACCAGTAACCAACCCTTATTAATCGGCTTCCCTCGCGTGGGCTCATCATGAACTCGATGGGAACTGACCCAGCCACCTGGCCGGGGTTGTAATTTCTCTATACATGTTTAAGGTAAAAATGTTGAGAGTTCTTACCGGGCTGCGCCTCTGTGGTCAGCAAAAAGGAAGAGAGAACAGACACCTCGTCAGAGAACAGTGGATCAGTCACAGGCTCGGGTGACAGCAGATTTCACAGACAGTGACCTGAACACCCACATCAGTCACAGGCATGGGTGACAACAGATTTCACAGTGATCTGAACACACAGGTGTGGGTGACAGCAGATTCTACAAACAGTGACCTGAGCACACACTCTACTTCATCAGGCCCAGGGAAGACGGCGCTCACTGTAGTCAGGGCTTATTTAAGCCAGGGAGCCCTAGAAGGACCGTAGAGAAAGATTATCTGTGTGTAACGCATTTGCTAAGGTGGGTGTACAAGTTTTAGTCATGTGTGCACAGGAGCCAAGCAGAAACGTGCAGGTCAATGACACAGGCAGTGCTAATGTCTTCTCCAGATTATCTGGGGAGAGGAAACTTCGAGAATGACTAGCAAGGCAGACTGCTTCCTTAAACCACAGAGTGTTAGTAAATGACACAGACACAGAGTGTTTCGGACACAGCTGGGGCCTAACGGCCTGGGAAGCATCAGAGGCTGTACGTAAAGAACAGGCTCCTTCCCGTGGCCTCTCTCGAGTGTTCATGGAACATGCACTGTGGGGACTTTGGGGGTTAGTATATGTTCTTGGCCTGGCAACATGGCAGCGTCTACCAATGGGTAAGAATGTGATGGGGAAGAGGGGCGCCCCTGACAAGTGCAGGTGGGAATGAGAAGACCGTCCCACACAGTGGACCAGAGGTGGCCTGGAAAACAGCCGCGGACACACCTTTCCCGTTCCCTCCTCAAGCCTCCACTGAGGCTGCTGTCAGTTTATCCCCCAAATCCCTGATGGCCCCTCTGTAGGCCTCACTGCTGTGACAGGAGTGTCAGGACATGAGTGGGGTGGGGAACATTGCTCAGGGCATCACTGTCAGGTGTGGGCTAATCTGGGGGTGCACTGAGGCTGCCTCCCCACACCCAGGGCCAGGAGCACAGACACAAAGGTAGGCAGGAGTTTGCTCAGATGGACAGGTGGGTCTGCTCTCCAGAGCACAGACTGCAGACAAAGGCCTGTGGCCTCTCGTACCCGGGAGACCTCATGGATAATCGGTCACTGGTCTTGATGGCAGAGAGGGGAAAGTGAGACCCCGAGACGCATGTCTACAGAATGGGGAGGACCAGAGGCAGAGTCCTGTCCTCTCTGTGAGACCACGACCACACTGTTGAGGACTCTTCAGCAGGGAACCGTCCTGGCTGACACCCAGGAGTGGTTATTTCTCAGACCAGTTTTGTCCATTGCTAGGACCTTAAACATATTTACCCCAGTCAAGTTCACTTATAATATTTTAGACATTATTTTTGCCTTATTATTTTTTTTGCAGTGTTTTTTTTTTTTTTTGGCTGGGGCTGGGTTTGAACCCACCACCTCCAGCATATGGGGCCAGCACCCTACTCCTTTGAGCCACAGGCACTGCCCTATTTTTGCATTATTTTCCAGGTATAGCTCCATACTGATCCCACATCTCTTGGAAACCTATCTATATGCATTTTAAATCAAATTAGGGATAAAAGGATCCTTATGGATATATATTTTGGCACTTCAGTTCTCTTATTGACTAATTCATATTATAGTTTCAGAAAAATCCACTCTTTTATATGAAGATTTAGACTTTATTCTTCTTCAGTGACCAAGCTAGTGTTCTTTTCTAAAGAAGGAAATGTGGGAATTTTATGACAAAAGATCCACTTCTAAAATACAGCAAATGGGGAACAGAAGTGACACAAGTTTCTCCAAGATGAAATTATGAGAGATAATGCAAAATAAAATGCAGCCACACAGAGGCAGAGCCTCAATGTAAGACCATATATATTACCATTTATATAAGGTGATTATACAGAACCCCTTTCAAAATAATTTCAAATCTATCAATTGCACCCACATTAAGTCATACCTTAATTTCTAACCAGTTAAAAACCTGCATTTTTAATCACTAGTTTATGGTTCCGTTCTTTCTAGTAAAAGACAATCTTATAGTGTTTGGGGACTCCATTTGCAAACTGCCTTCATCCAGGAATAGCTTTCAAACTCATGTAGCCATAGACTGATTAACCAGAACCCAAAAGACACAGCAAGAAGCCGTGGGAAGAGCAGACCCAGAGGGCTTCAGGAGGTATAATTAAGAGCCATCTGAGACCTTCAAAAGGACAAGAGTTCCAGAAGTTAAATGGAAGGGCTTTATATACAATAATTATCACCATTAAAGAGAGTAACACAATTTAGTCTCTGCCAGACAAGGACAGAAAAATTATTACCAGCCAGGAAGGAAGAGTCTTTGCCTGTTCAAAATATTATTTCACCCTTCCCCCGTCATTTCCCGAGAATGTCCAAGACTTCAGCACCCTATTTCTGTTCTATGGTATATGGGATTTTCTGCAAACATAGGAGAAAACTAACTCAGTATCTGGTCTTGATGTATTTGGTCAGCTAAGAGAGATCTGTGTTCAGAGGTGCAAACTTAAATGCTCCCAGGGTGGGGACCAGGGGTGGGTGCTGGACTCAGGGTCAGGTGACTCCTGTGAGCTGACGTCTATCTGCCACGTGAGGAAGTGGTCTTAGTGCTGCTGGATCTCCAGAAAGAAGATGAGCAGATTTTTTAAAAATTTGAAATGTTATGGTTTTTAAATGTGAGCTAAAATTGTTTTTAACTGTACAGCCAAACAAAACACCTACTCAACACCTACTCAGGCATTCAGACCTGCAGGTGGTCGGAGCGCCTCTGGTTGCAGGCACTGGTATCACACACAACACTCTCAGGGAATTGTAGCTGCTGTTCCCATCACTCATTTCTACATCTCATTACTCAGGCTTTGCTAGTGGTCTACTTATTTTCTGAACAAATTTCCTACATTCCTAACTAAATGGTAATTGTTTGGTTCCTAGATTTCTCTGGGTCCTTTTAAGCATCTGGAGAAGGTTTGGGGACATTTTATGTCCCTCCTACTTTTCATTTTGGTGTTTAACTTAGAGATAATTCTTACTCTGTATTTTGAGGCTATTTTCAAAGTGAGTAAAAAAATTAAGAACAATTTTTTTTTTTTTGAGATAGAGTCTCATTTTATCACCCTTGGTAGAGTGCCATGGCATCACAGCTCACAGCAACCTCAATCTCTTGGCCTCAAGAGATCCTCTTGCCTCAGCCTCCTGAGTAGCTGGGACTGCACGCGGCCCACCACAACACCTGGCTATTTTTAGAGATGGGGTCTTGCTCTAGCTCACATCTTTGATTAGAATATGTTCTATTTCTAAAATGTATACAATTTTCAATATGAATGTGCCTCCTTAGGACAAAATGAGGCAGCTGGTACCCTGGTAGCCAGTGCAGGGTCCTCACACCACACTGAAGTTATGTTGCATTATTTTTTTGCACAAAGGAGTTAATTTGCATTCAGTTAACAGAACACCTTGGTCTTCGTCAGTGTGGGTAAGGTGTTTTAAAATATTTATCATTTCTAAGTAATGAAACATAATCTGCCTTATTTTCCAAATTTACTAAATAATCAGTCTCAGATTCTGCAGTTTTATAAATTTGCTAAATTCAGAGCTATAGGGCAGGCATCCTTAAACTACGGCCCGTGGGCCACATGTGGCCTGCTGAGGACATTTATCCCACTCACTGGGTGTTTTTGCCACCACTGCCTATCCTGCTTAGCAGCCGACTCATCCTGTGGCCTGCAGTCCGGCCCTCCAACGGTCTGAGGGACAGTGAACTGGCCCCCTGTTTAAAAAGTTTGAGGACCTCTGCGATAGGGAAACAGGAAAATGGGTGTGAAAAAGCACCAGATAAATATTACTTTTACATCACTGAGTCAGCAAACTCAGGGGTTCGTGTCAGAGAATTTTGTAGGCAAGAATCAGAATACACAATCACTGTGCTTGTTGTTGAGATCCCAGCCGGTGCTCCTGTCTGTTTTGAAATGCTTCAGGGGAAAGGCGAACTATCTGGAAAGCACCTGTTGGCCCCACTCTTGTAGGTGTTTGTATCAAAACTTGTTTCCATGTGTAGCACAAGTCAGTTTACAGAGAATACTTATCATGTCTGATGGGAGATGGTTGAGACTGTCCTCTGAAACTCCACTTGCGAAGAGAAACAAAGAGTCTAACTGAGGCCTCTGAGATGGCCAGGCTGAGGGCCTGACAGGTGGACATTTCCCCAGAGAAAGGAGGCAGGGAGTAGGGGGTGTCCTTGGAGATGTCCTTGTAAGGAAGAGGCCGACTTGTAGCTGAACTGCCAGAAGGACAGCAGAGGGACCACCGAGGGATGGAGAAATTTGAAAGTATGTTCTTTCAATATTTGAAGTGGCTAAAGTCAGTGATTTCAGAGAGACATTGAGGGGAATAATGAAATTGGCCAAGCGTAAGGAAAGGCTGGTAAAAGGCACAGCAATATTGGGCTGGCACACAGCAAGTGACATTACTCAGAAATGGGCTTAGTAATAATCATGATCAGCTCCATAATCACAACCACAGGGGCTTATTTTATTTTTGGACACAAGAAGATGTGGTCCACGTTTTGATCAGTGCTAATTTGTGACCCACTTCCTGCTCTGCCTATGCTTCCGTCCATCCTGCCCCCATCGTGTGGGCTTCCTGTGGGTGGCCTTACCTGACCTGCAGGGCCTGCCAGGGTCGGGCAGGGGCCCTGGAGGAGGTGGCAGCAGGTCTGCTGAGGCTGGGCACATGGACCAGACCAACTGCTTCTGTTGTTAACATGGAAACACAGCACTTTCATATTTTCTAGCAAAGAGGTCACCTCTGTCAGCCATACATTGGCGTCCAGGCAACATGTTTCCAAGAAACCAGAGGGACAAGAAGAGAACATAAACTTTTTTTTTTTTTTTCAAAATCTGTTCCATTTTGCTCTAAAATAAAAAGATGTAAGTACATCATATCAGATTTATGCTGCCATTAAGAATTACCCCGGGTACTAAAAAGTAAGTAATCACCTCAGAAGGTGATTTGCATTTTAGAAAGATCCTCTTTTCTAGTTTCTGACCATTCTGGGAGGGAGTATTTGGATTTACGAAACAAATAAAGAAACCAAATCAGACCCTAAGCCCCACTACAACCCCATTTCCAAGGCCAGTTTTATAAGCATTCGGGATGCTACATTGTGGTACAGTAGACAAAAAATAACTTAAAAATTGTTTGCCTAACTCAGAGCATGAGGGTGTAGCTTGAAGAATTCAAGTGGAAGCTGCAATAAATGCAAGTTAGTACCTGAAATATTTGACCATACGCGTGCGATTGAGACGCGAACTTCCCGACATTACCCTGGGCCCTTACTAAACAGCACCTACAAAACCACCAGCACCCAACTTCCTCTCTTCCCCAAGTGGCATAGTTAGACCTCATCTTGCTTCACAAAGGTTTGTTTTTAAAATCCAAAACCTCGTTTAGGTGATAAGCACAGTCAGTCATAGATATACAGATGATGAAAATAAACAGAATAAATAATATTTGGCCAAAGCACAGAAAGAACTTGTAATTTCTTACCGGACTTTTCCTCTAAAAGTGTAGGCATGGGGAGAAAAAATAAAGAGAAATGAGAGAGGTAAAATGCATTTTCTGGAAGATACAGCTCGAGCCTTGGAATGACCTGCTTTGAAATCGGCTTTCTGTGGGCTTGTCAAGCTACGGCCATTCCCAGGTGGCCGTGTTTAGTTTGGTTTAATGAGGGGCCAGCTGCCACATGAGCTCACCCTGGACTTCCTTCTGAATGAGTTGCTTTTATCGAATGGACTTGGGCCTTGAAAACAGAAAATTATTCTTGGAATAGTGAAAAGAATTGGAGAATGCCACTAACGCCCTGAAGCTGGGCGTGGTCGGTCACAAGACTAAAACAGGACGTTTTCCAGAAACTCCGTCTGGACAGAGAACAGTGTGTATGTCGTTTTCTCCCATGTCACCCTGGCAGAGCCATCAGTTCTTTGATTCTGTCTTCTTTTTGCCCTCATTCTCCACTGGCAAGCACGTCTTACCATTTGCCACGGTGTTTACAAACCCCTGGCCCTCAGGATGGTCTTAATTCCTTAGCGGCCACCTGAGGGGGCCGTACTCTCCCTGGCTGCTCACCTGCTTCCTGCCGCTGACCCTGTTCCCAGTTTCATTGCCTCATCTATCCTCACACTCAATTATTTTTCAAAAATAGTGAATAGAATCTATTATTCCTCCCTCCCCAAATCTCCCTGCTACTTAGAAAATACAGCTCAAACTCCATCCAGCGGCTGCCGAGACGTGCTCCGTCCAGCAGCTGCCGAGACGTGCTCCGTCCAGCTCGCCTCCCACCCTCACTCCACTGTTGTCTTTCTGTGAAGCATGAACTTGGCTGCAGACTCCTTGTACCCTTGGACATGCCACACACGCACACACACAAGCACACACTTCCTGCTTTCGGCCCATGCACTTTTTCACTTTTCAATGGTTCCTCCCTCTCCCCTGTCAAAATCTCCCTGGTCCCTCTACGGCAGCGACGTTCTCACAGGACCCCTCTCCCAGTGTCCCTGTCAGGATCGATGGCTCCTTCTCTTGTTTGATTGCAGCCTCCTTTTATTCAGAGTATCAGGTAAATACTGAAGGCCTTTCTATTCACCTGATGTTTGCTGGCCTTGGGGAAACTGAGGCACAGGTGGCTGGTGGATTTCTGAGGTTCTTACTTTGCTCTGTGTCACTGAGATGTCTCCACCCCACACTGGCTCATGTGATGGGTGCCAATGGCCTCTCTTGGGCCCCACAAGTAGCGTGAGGCTCTTAGTAGGCACCCAGAGCATGTTTAGGAGATCTCTTTCGGGACTATTAAAACATTGTACAAAAGTATACCTGTCTTTCAAAACAGGGAACAAGGAGCCGCTCTGGAGTAAGGCTGGACTATGCCCAGCCTGCCCGGTGCTCTCTAGACACACTTCACTCAGCTCCCACTCAGCTGTCAGCTCTCCGGCCATCAGCGCCCTCGGGTGCTAACACGTTGCAGAGGCTCCCAGGAGCTAAACACAACAGAGCTGTCCTTATGATAAAGGGTAGACGTGTAGTAATGGGATTGCGGGATCAACGGAGGCCTATTTTGAGCATTGTGAGGATTCTCCACACTTCTTTCCATGGAATACTATTCAGCCATAAAAAGATGGAGACTTTACATCTTTTGTATTAACCTGGATGGAGCTGAAACACATTCTTCTTAGTAAAGTATCACAAGAATGGAAAAGCGAGTGTCCAGTGTACTTGATACTAATACGAAGCTGGTAGATGATCTAATAGGCGTCCACACAAGAGAGAGAGGACACGAAACTCAATTCAAGGTGGGCGAGGTAGAGGGATTGGTGGGCGAGGTAGAGGGATTGGTGGGCGTCCGTCTCACGGACACACGTAAGGGTACTCGACGCCTGGGTGTGGGACACAGCTACACCAGGACTCTACCTAAGAAATGCAAACATTGTAATGTAATTGTTCGTATCCTCACATTAATCTGAAATAAAAAAAATAAAAGCAAGAAATAAAAATAAAAAACAGTGGAGCTGAATGCTCACAGATCACACAGCTTGGAAAAGCTTGGATCTTTCTAATGGAAAGGATTAATAGGTCATGCTTATTTACATAACAGGTCTCAAAGAATGAGCTTTTCAGAGAATGAGCTATATTTCTAGGTGTGATTTCAGTCCTTGGGATTAAACTCTGATTGTAAGGCAAATTTCTTGGCCTTTTCTAGTGTTAAAAGCACTTTGTGTCATTATAATCAGAGGAATAAGTGGGAACACACAGAGGTGAGGGCCGCCCCTCCCCGCCTGCCTGCACCTCCCTCCCCTAAGGCACCAAACCACCTTTCTTTAAAATCTGGTTCTGCTTCCTCAGCAGTTACCAACACCCAGGCTGTGGCCTCTTAGCCTGAGGTTTTCTTCAAAATGTTAAAAAAATGAAAACAAACACAAAATGTGACAATTTTCTTGAGGGGCAAACAAAGATATTTTTCCATTTAAAATAAGCAAACGGCATCAGACTCGATTTTTAATTATTGAAAAGCTAACTAGGAGAGCTGGAAAGAGATATATACACATCGAGATGGAGTGAGTGAGTTTCTGGACTAGACAAAATCCTTCACCTAAAATACAACCAGTGAATGGTGTAGACGTGTCGGGATTTTCCCATCCCATGGCCTGAGGACACAGGACGCTTGACCTGCAAGCCTTGCAGAGGTCCAGCTCCCCCTTAGGACGCAGCTCCCCACGGAACGCAGGGACCCCTGCTGTCTGCAGAGGCAGAATCTCTCTGACTTGGCGACTCAAGTCTTCACCCGAGTTAGGTTTTGTTGAAGACTACGTCTTTGCATGAAGGGCCAGAAATCAACCCTTAAAACTGAATTCTGCTTAATTCGGGTCAGAGCCAATGGAGGCGAACGGAGGGGACGCGCGCCACCTGTCGGTGGGTTGTGTTCTCAGCTTCCCTGCCTGGCCTGCGGGACTCTGGCACCGAGCATTGCGGAAGGGACTCAAGACATAACAAGTCAGGTCCAATCTGCAAACCTTTTTAGAGCCTCTGATCACTCAACCTCAAAAACATTGAGCTCATTGCAAATTCTTACTTTTTAATTAATGGGTTTCTATTACAATACAACCACTCCCTATCAGTTACTTATGACTGGTCAGGTATTCACAGGGAGCAAAAGGATTATTTATTATTTATTTATTAAGTCACTGGCCGATATTTATTAGGCACCTATTCCAGGTAAACTAGTGAACCACAGAAACAGCAGGAAACGTCCACTGAGCTGCTTTTGGGAGCAGGGGAGGGCACGCACCTCCAACAACAAAGACAGTAACATTGAACCACCCACCCACACCATGGCAGTCTGGTTAGATGCTGTGATGGAGCCGAATGTTCATGGAAGCGCTGAGCATTCCTGGCCTGTCTGTGGAGGGGACGGTGTGAACACACTTACCGCACTGCCAGCCACAGAAAAGGGTGGCACATACAGCTATGTGTTACCTAAGACTCGGCAGTGACAATAAATGACTAAGTTACTGGTCTGTGTGTTCACTCTACTATACTTTTTACTATTATTTTATTGTTATTTTCCTTCTATTTATTAAAAAAAAACTTCAGGCGGGTCCCTGGGAGGTATTCTAGAAGAAGGCCTTGTCGTCAAAGGAGACGGCAGCTCTGTGGGAGTCGGCCCCTGAGGCCTTCCAGTGGGACTGGATGTAGAGGTGGGAGGTGGTGAAGCCGATGGTGCTGGCCCTGTGGAGGCCTAGGCTGATGACTGTGTTTATAGTGCAGTTTTTAACCAAAAGGTTTAAAAAGTAAAAAATAAAAAAAATTTAAAAATGGGGAAAAGCTTATGGAACAAAAACAGAGGGAAAGAAAATATTTTTGTACATAGCTGTACAACATGTTTGTGTTTTAAGCTATATGTTATCACAAGAGTCAAAAAGTTAAAAAAATCAAGAAGTTAATAAAGTAAAACAAGTTACAAGCTAATGTTGGTTTATTTACTGAACGAGCTCTCTCGATCCTCCATGTAGCATGTTAAGAAAAATAAAGTAGAATAAAGATGGGTTTGAAATAGGTTAGATAGTGGGATGGAGTTTCAACTGGGCAAACAGGCCGAGGTCAGTCCATCTTGCCTTCGTCTTGATGTCCACAGCAGGACAGGCCGCCCCAGCTGGCGCACCTGGCCCTGTATGCACCGTGCTGGTGGCTGACATAGACCGTAGCCCTGTGGTCCATGGCTGGCTGGAGGCTGTCCTTCTGACACAGGAGATAGAAAGAAGTGCTGCCTTCTTAGAAATTTTCCCATCTCCAAGGCAACATTTTTTGAATCACCCATAATTAACGTGGGTGATTCACGTGCTAAGATCTTTTGTTCCTAAAACAATTAAAAGTTACATTTACTGCTATAAATTTCTGGCACTAAAAGAAGCTCCTTCAGAAGGCAAAGGGGCATGGACGTTTTTCTTATACTTATTTTTATACTATTGTTCATACATTTATAGAAACTCCTTAGTATGAAAACAAGTATAATGGTGTAAGAAAGTAAATTACAGACACTTAACCCTCAAGCTTGAGGGTCACTAAGTGACTGAAAATCTGAGGTTTTAGATGAGAAAGCAGACTTCTCCTGGGGAGTGCAGGGTTGGGGAAGGAGGATGACAAAACCAGGACCCACAGGAAAGATTAAGTTAATTAACTTGGAACCTACAAATCGTAGAAGAAACAGGAAATTATTTCTCATATTGTTATCCAGTAACTGAGAAAAAAACTTGATAGAGTAGAAGGGGAAAGGATCAAAGAAATTGAGAATCATAAATTTGCTCTGTTTTAAAATGAGGTGAGGGATAGAGGTTGCATTATATCACAGAAATGCCACAGCTAGACACCAGTTCTGTTTAATTTTCCGTGGTGGAGAGCGTCCATCTACCCCAACAACCAACAAGTATTTTCTAAGTACCTGCTGTATGTCATTCAACACTGGAGGCCCTGGAGATGGAAATGCCCACTACAGAAGAAGCTGAGAGGAA